ATTATTATTATTATTATTATTATTATTATTATTATTATTATTATTATTATTATTATTATTATTATTATTATTTGCAAGCTTAAGCTCTCTACAACAATCTGAGCTAGTAACATCGTCGTCCTGTAACAACCCCACAATCCCTTGTGGGGTGTAGTCTGGGCGACTGAGTGGAGCAAGCAGAGTGTTTAATGGCCAGATGCCCTTCCCGTCACCAAGGCTGAGTTTTGTTCAGCAGATATATACTCATTGTGCCCAGAGAGAGAAGTATCTGCCTAGGATCAAACTCACAGCCTCCTGATTGCGTGACAAGAGCTCCACCTCTGGGCCACCGCACCACTCCAAAAATCTGAGCTACTAGCAGTCAAGGGAAATGGAGGCATTCATGGTGGGCTGGGTTTAGATCTCTTGTGGGCACGCAGGGATTCATGACTGATGACGCGTTTGACCCCTCCCTCACTCTCGGCCTGGTTATCTCCTACAAAGCCATTGGAAAAAGAGAAACACACAGTCACCTGCTGGGTGCAGAGTAACTGTCAGGCCTCCTGGGTAACCCCGATGTCAGATAAAAATATACCCTTTTGGTCTTTTTAACTGCCAGAAAAAGGGAGTGGCATTCTTGAAATGCCTAGATAATCAACTCAGCAGCCCAAAGTTGTCAGAGCAGGTTATTGGAGAGCGTGATGGATGACTCTTGGAGACGGATGTGTCCCATTGGAGAAGTCACATCCAGGGGGTGGGGGAAAGAACAGGGTCAAGGGGGAAATGTATGATTTGATTCAGTACCGCCTGCACCCAGCCACACGCCAACAGGGCCGTTTCTAATAAACCAGTTTACTTTTTCTGAGATGCGGCTAGAGGCTTTTGCGTTGAATGAGGGGGATTTGTGGGAGCCCTGACCCCCGACAGGAAATACCACTAGATGAGCTAATTCTACTTTAAAGGCGGTCCTCAAATTATGACCGTCATGAAGCCTCCCCGTCACCATCCTAATGAAGGACAGTTGTAAATCAGGTCACCCACATGACTGACCCAATTTTTATGACCTTTCTTTGCGACGGTCATTAAACAAACACGGCACTCATTCAGTTTTACCAACACCCAGAAGCAAATGCCAGTTTTCAGCAAAACCATCGTATCTGCCCATAACCCTAGGCGGCTGTGTAAATACGCTAAAATAATTAAATTAATTAAATATATAAGTAAAACATAGTCACGTGTCCATGGCTTTAAATGCAGCCTGGTTGCCAAGTGCACGACATGTGGTCAAATGACCTCAGAGGCCATTAGAACCTTTGAATCCGGATCATAAATACCCTAACCTTCACCCCAGGGAGGTACATCGTAACTCGGAATGGTCGCTAAGTGGCTCGTTATATAAGTCTAGGGCTACCTATTTTGCCAAGCTAAGTTAACAGAATTTTATCAGAGTTTGTTGCAAGAAAATCACATCCCAAAAGGCACACGCAGATAACTGATTCAGCAGGATGCATTAACTTCTTAATATATATATATATTTGTTTTCTTAAGTTTTCGCGGGTACTTACATGTATGGCATTCAGCTTTGTACGGGTATTTTCCCACGTCATTGTAGTTGTGCTTTTAAAGTTGTAGCAACGTTTCGGCAGAATCTCATCTGCAACGTTTCGGCAGAATCTCATCAGGCTACAGAAGCCTGATGATGGCAGATGAGATTCTGCCGAAATGTTGCTACAACTTTAAAAGCACAACTACAATGATGTGGGAAAATACCCGAACGAAGCTGAATGAGATAGATAGATAGATAGATAGATAGATAGATAGATAGATAATAAATAGCACATGAAGTAAATTTACAATACCAACAGCAGATTCTTCCAACGTGGAAAAAACACAAGCAGAGGAGAGAACAGTATTCAGTTTTGATTCAGAGTGGCAGATTAGAAGGCAGTTTCAGAGCTCAGAGCTTAATACAGAGCCACGCTCCTCGTCCAGTTTCAGTTTCCAAACAGTCGTCGTTGGCTGACTTAGTTGCTCTGCCTATGCATTGGCTGACCTTGTAACCATATTCTGACAAATTTGGCTAAAAATCTGAAAGCACAAAACTCCCATCTCCTTTTTTAAGCAGCTGAACTATTAGGCCAGGTGCTTCCTCAGTTTCTTCCTCTGACCGTTAAGCCACGGAGGGCTCCCCTGTCTCTTATCTGTCTCGTATCCAGGGGAGCTTCTCTTCCCCTCATCCCCCAAAGTCTTTCTCACAAACCATTAGGCCTCCGAGCTGAAGTCGTGTCCCTTTCTAACTTCTTCTTCTTTTTCCTTCTCCAATCAGATCGTGCCAGAGGAATCCTCCTCCTCCTCCCTCCCTCCACAGAGCGAACCCCGTAAACCCCTGAAGCCGGCTCTAAAACGGGTCCCCAGCACTTTATCCGACAATCATTCAGGTAACCGGGGCGGGGGGAAAAAAAGCTCTTTTGCTCTATTCCCGTTCACCTTCTTCTTTACACGACCCCATAATCCCTTGCGGAGTGGAATCTGGGCAACCGAATGGAGCTAGCATAGTGTTTTAACGGCCGGATGCTCTTCCTGTCGCCAGTGCGGAGTGTTGTTCAGCGGATTATATTCTCAGTGTGCCCAGAGAGAGAAATATCTGCCTCTTACCTGGGATTGAACTCACAGCCTCACTAATTGTGAGGTGAGAGCTCCACCTCTGGGCCACTGTAGCACTCCGCTCTAGGTCCCCTTAAGTTCTTCACATTTCAGTGTAAACTCTCTCTCCTTACCACAGCACTGATAGCGCTACCTAGTTAGGTATTGAAAATGTCTGCGGGAAAACAACCAAGCTCAGAGAGCACCAAAGAAAACTCTTGTGTCAACCCTGAGCTTTCAAATAATCTCCTTTATTGGTGCGATGCAAAGTACACAGTTTTAACAGATTTAACAGATAACAGATTTAATAGATAATCAGAGTTGGAAGAGACCTTGTAGGTCATCTAGTCCAACCCCACCCCCCACTCAAGCTTTTCTCCTAGAGGGTGACTTTCTGCTTCCCAAACTGCCTCGGTGCATTTGTCTCTAAAGGTGATAAGTTGCTAGTCCTCTGCACAACACAGGTAGTTCTCGACTTACAACAGTTCTTTTGGTGACCGTTTGAAGTTACAATGGCACTTAAGAAAGTGACTTCTGACCGTTTTTCACACACCTATGACTATTGCAATATCCCCATGGTCAAAATTCAGATGCTTGGCAACAGGTTCATATTTATGACGCTTGCAGTGTCCCGGGGTCACGTGCTCCACTTTTGCGACCTTTGGACAAGCAAGGTCAATGGGGAAGCCAGATTCACTTAACAGCTGGGTTACTCACTTCACAACTTCAGTGATTCATTGAACATCTCTGGCAAGGAAAGTCGTAAAATGGAGCAAAACCCATTTAAGAAATGTCTCACATAGCGACCAAAATATTGGGCTCAATTGTGGTCATAAGTCAAGGACAACCTCTATGGCACTTGGGTCCTCCCCCAGGTATTCTCTGAATAATTATGACGTCTCTCTTTCTCCCTCTCCCTCCCTCCCTCTCTCTTTCTCTTTCTTTCTTTCCCTCTTTTTCTTTCTCTCTTTCCCTTTCTCTCTTTCCTTTAACCCTCGCTCTCTCTTTCTCTCTCTTTCTCTTTCTCTCTCTTTCCCTTTCTCTCTTTCCCTTTCTCTCTTTCCCTTTCTCTTTCTCTCTCTTTCTCCTTCTCTTTCTCTCTCTTTCCCTTTCTCTCGCTCTCTCTTTCCCTTTCTCTTTCTCTTTCCTTTTCTCTCTCTCTCTCTTTCTCTCTCTCTCTCTCTCTTTCCCTTTCTCTCT